TTCCACTTGTGCAAATGTTGACATCCTCAAATCAAAAGATTAACAACTAAGCTACACAAAGCCTTTCAAAATTTTGAGAGGACCCATCTCGACATGACACAAGTACGAATATAGAAAACAACCAAGATGTGGTTGTTTCCACCTGGATATGGCAATGAAATTAACAATAAATTTTTACACTAATGGACCAACCTTCCTTTTGTTTTTCATGGCTAATGCTTCACCAATTAGTTTCTTCTTCAAAAGAAACTAGAGAAAAGATTATACTCTAGAAGAAAGAGAAAAAAGGGAAAAAGCCATGGATCACCATCAGCTTTTCTTCACCGATACCTATAGGATACACAGTTGACATCAATAATTTGGCTGCCCTATTCACGACCGACATCATTTGATGTGCTTGTGATGCCTCCAAGGATCGACATCATCCTTGTTGCGTTTCAATTTTCTCACCCTTTCTTCCCCTTCTTCTTTATTAATCACACAACAAACCCTCTTTTTTTTACCAAATCACATCTCTTTTCTCTCTTTTCAATTTTTTATTTTTCTTCGTCGATTAAGCAACTCAAGATCTCTTGCCTCAAGAGAGCCATGCCTAAATTCTTATGCTCATAGTCCTCACATACATATATAGCATATTTGGGCTGTGTTTGGTCCTCACATACATATACATGTGTAAAAATAAATTGATGTATATTATTATTGATTGATGTGTATGTTTATTGATATCATTACAATGATTCATGATTCCTATATATTAGAAGAGGGTGGGTGTGTAGTAGGTGAGGAGTAGGTGAGTAGGTGAGTGTGTAGTAGGTGGTAGTGGTAGGTGTGTAGTAGTGTGAATTTTAACAGCCCCCCGCAAACTCAAGGGATAGGAACTAACCAACTTGAGTTTGGAGAGAGTAACAAAACAAGAAAATACATAAAAATAAAAGAGGATAGGAGACATTGTATGGTCGTGTCAGACCATTGGTGAAGACACTGGATGGTGGTGTCATAACGTTGTAGAGGACACTGTATGGTGGTGTCATAACGTTGTAGAGGACACTGTATAGGTGGTCATAACGTTGTAGAGGACACTGTATGGTGGTGTCATAACGGTGTAAAGGACACTGGATGGCGGTGTCAGACCGATGTAGAAGACAGTTATTGGGGTCATGTCGGACCGTTGTAGCAGACAATGTTGTGCAGTGTTTGTGACAGTTTACAGAGTCTTGCTGGACCCTTGTAGAAACTAACCGGAATCTATGTCGGGAAGTTTACAGAGTCTTGTCGGACCCATGAAGGAGCTAACCGGAATCAATGTCGGGACAGTTTACAGAGTCTTGTCGACCCTGAAGGAGCTAACCGGAATCAATGTCGGACAGTTTACAGAGTCTTGTCGGACCCAGAAGGAGCTAACCGGAATCAATGTCGGGACAGTTTACAGAGTCTTGTCGGACCCATGAAGGAGCTAACGGAATCAATGTCGGGACAGTTTACAGAGTCTTGTCGGACCCTTAAAAAGTCGCCCCCTCAAAAGGTGTGCCCAATTTTCAAAAGGCGTGCCATCAAAAGGCGTGCCAATCCATAAAAAGGCGTCCATCAAAGGCGTGTCCATCCATAAAGGCGTGCCATCAAAGGCGTGCCAATCCATAAAAAGGCGTGCCATATATGATGGCGAGGCACGTGAGTACCTTGGCTGGCGCGCCCGTTTGTCGTCTGGCGTCAAGTGCCGCGCGATACGCGTGGCTGCCTCGGCTATTTAACCAAGACGGAGGCTGAGGCTGAGGCAGAAGCTAAGACAGAAAAAACTGAGAGAAACCTCTGAAAAATTCTTCGTTTTGCTGAGAAAGATACTCTGTAACACTCTGTTGCCCAGAAAAATGGCTTCGTCTTCCCGCGGTCTGCTCACCCTCTTTCCCGACCTCAACGAGTCAACAAGAGAGAGAACTGGTGCAGTGGACTGGAACCTCAACCAAGCGCCCCGGAGTTTGCTCCGTTGAACTTTCCGATGCGGTCTGTGGAGCAAAGAATGGCAGTGCAGTCGGATGTGGAAGCCAATCAGTATACATTGAAGTCAGTGTGGAAACCATGACTGCGGTTACAAACTTTGCGAACCGGCTGCAGAGTAGGGCAAATGAGGTCAGCAGTTAAACTCCCAGCTGGCTCTGCTCCAATGCATGTATAAGGATGCGCGAGCAGAGATAAGTGTGCTAAAGGCGGAAAATAAGGAA